GGATGAAGCGACCAACTATCCGACAGAATTTTTGAACTCACTGGATGTGCCAGGAACTCCGCCGCATAATTTGCAACTGAAGGTGGGATCAGTTATTATAATGCTGCGGAATCTAAATCATCCGAGATTATGCAACAGTACGGGGTTGCCCGTTAAGAAACTAATGAACAACGTGATTCAAGCGACGATCATCAAGGGTAAATTTAAAGGAGAGGAAGTTCTTGTCCCAAGAATTCCGATTATTCCAACAGATCTTCCATTCCAATTTAAGAGGATTCAGTTCCCAGTTCGATTGGCATTTGCGATGACAATCAATAAATCGCAAGGCCAGTCGTTGGAAGTCTGCGGGATAAATCTGGAAAATCAATGTTTTTCACTGGACAGTTATACGTAGACTGTTCGCGTGTCGGGAAGTCGTCATCATTATTTATTTTTGCACCGGATAACAAAACAAAAAATATTGTTTATCACATCGCTCTCCAATGATTTCGAGTCAAACAAATTTCACAAAAAATTTGAATTACCAGTGTTCTATTATTACTATGGGGTTATATGAAATCGTGAAATTGGGGAGAGACAAAGTTCACCGGGTCCGCTAGTTTATACATATATAAATTTTTTGATCTTTCTTATGACAGCTAAATGATAGAGTTATCCGATTTTGATCAAATTTAATCCGAAATTCAATAGTAGTTAGAAAACGCCATCTGGAAGAAATTAAGTCGATCTGATAAAAAACAACGACGTGAAAATTTTTTTATTTTATTCTCTTGTATGGAGGATATCCGATATAGTCGGTCGATCCGGCTCGGTCCGACTTATATACTGCGTGAAATAACTACGCAATTTAAGAGACAAGTTTACTTAGAAACAGACAGGTGGACAGACGTACAGGCCTATTTGAAATCAGATCGTGATGCTGATCAAGAACATACATACTTTATGGGGTCTGAGGTGTCTCCTTCACTGCGTTGCAAACTTCTGACTGAAATTATAATACCCTTTGCTCTGCAATAAAAACCTATTTAATAAAGTATAGTATTTAAAAACAAGAATGGAAGCTAGCTTCGGCAAACCGAAGCTTATATACCCTTGCAGTCATCAAATTATATCGAACAACATCATACATATATGTATGTACATACAACATCGAAGCCATGACGATTTTTCTATTACCTTTCCATATTTTTGACTATTGTTCATATGGCAGCTATTTGATATAGTCTGATTTTAATGAAATTCTTTTCGTAATTCAAAAGTCAGTAGAAAACTCTATATTCCAAAAATTATGGTTGTCTGATGAAAAAAAAACGATTTTATCATTTTATTTCCGTTATTTCTGTATAGATTTTTTGATCTTTCCTGTGTCAGCTATGTATGTCGGATTAGAGGCAGGTTCTCACCTTGTGGCAAAAAAAAATTGATTTTTTTTCTTGGCTTATTGTATAGATATATGTTCCGAAAATGTTCTCAAAAAATTTCAGATCCAAATTTGAAATATTACAAAAGTTACAGGCCCTTACACGGAGCACATGTCGAGCACCGGCCATTGGAAGCCAAAACTTTAAGTGCGTTTATCTCGGAACCACGTTTTCGAACCTTACGGAAGTAATTGAAAGCGTTGGGGTTAACCAATCGTCATCAATTTTTTTTTTAAATGTTCCTAATTGTTTCCTTTAACTGATTAACTAGGATTATCCAAAAATATTGAAAACTGTTTAATTGAGAAAATAATTAGTGAGAAAAAAAGAGCGAAAATCGGGGTTTTTTTTTAAAAAGCTAATAACTTTTGCAATTTTCATTTTTTTTTTCTGATCCTAATTCATTTTATGCACGGTACTGTACACTTTAAGAATCTTTTCGGTTTTTGTGTTTCCGATTACCCGTTTTGGCTGAATCACTTCCGTAAGCGGGACACCTTTTTTCCGAAATGTTGCAACTGAGGAACGCCCCCTCCCGCCCCTTTTTGGTTTTTTCAATTTTGACATTTTTTTTCGCAAAATAAATATGTTTTTAAATAAAGCTACAAATTTCAGATTTTTATCTTTAACCGTTTTCTCAAAACAATTTTTTTAAAAAAATGTCCATTTTCGGCCCTACAAGGTGAGAACCTGCCTTAATTGAATTTTTTCTCGATTCAAGGGTCATTAAAAAACAAAATTTTTTGAAAATCATTAAAAACAACGGCATTATAAATTTTTTTCCAACTTTTGGTAAAGTTTTAACAAGATAGCTTTAAAACTGAGAGACTAGTTTACATAGAAACAGACAGACGTCCATACGTATTTTGATTCAGATCGTGATACTGATCGAGAATGTATTATATTGACTTTATGGGGTCTTAAGTGTTTCCTTAACTGCGTTGCAAACTTCTGAATAAAATTAAAATACCCTTTGATCTGCAAAGGATATCACAAATGATCTTGTAATATGTAATTCTCATATATACCTATATTAAACATTTTTCGAAAGAATTTTAATTATACCTATATAACAAACATATTTAAAAACAAGAAAGAAAGCTAGCTTCGGCAAGCCGAAGCTGTCATCAATTATGTCGAACAAAATGTATAAAGGCTAAACAACACCGAAGCTACGACGATTTTTCTGTTAACTTTCCATATACGTATTCGACTATTGTTCATATGGCAGTTATATGATATAGTAGTCCGATTTTGATGAAATATAATTCGGAAGTGAAGAGTCGTTAGAAAACTCTATATTCCAAAAATCATACTTGTCTAATGAAAAAATAGGATGTTATACTTTTATTTCCGTTATTTCTATATAGATTTTTTTATCTTTCCTATGGTAGCTGATTTTTATCAATTTTTTTTTTGATTCAAGGGTTATTAACAACACCGTATTTTGAAAAAACAACGACGTTATAATTTTTTTTTCCATTATTTATATATATCATTTTCGATCTTTCCTATGAAAGCTATATGATAGAGCTATCCATTGGCATCTATATGATAGTTATCCGATTTTGATAAAATTTGATCCAAAATTCAATAGTAGTTAGAAAACGCCATCAGTTTTAAAGCTGTCTTGCCGAAACTGTAACTATATAGGATAGGATAGATAGAGATTGACCTGACTTCAAATTAAATTTTATCAAAATCGGATAACTATCATATAGATGCCAATGGGAAGACCGTTGATTTTTATCACACGGCCATAATTTTTTGAGTATCAAGTTTTTTAACTAGCCTTCAATAACAAACAATTTTATAAATCTCGGACAACTATGTATATCATATAGCTGCCATAGAAAAGATAAAAAATCTATATACAACAAGAAAGGAAGCTAGCTTCGGCAAGCCGAAGCTTACCCTTGCAGTCATAAAATATTTCGAACAGAATACACAAAGGCTAAAGAACATCGAAGCTACGACGACTTTTCTATTAGTTTTCCATATTTTTGACTATTGTTCATATGGCCGCTATATGATATAGTTGTCCGATTTTGATGAAATTGTATTTGCTATTCAAGAATCGTTAGAAAACTCTATATTCCAAAAATCATGATTTTCTGATAAGAAATAACAATGTTATCATTTTATTTCCCTTTAATTCTATATAGATTTTTCGATCTTTCTTATGGCAGCTATATTATATAGTTGTCCGATTTTTATGAAATTTTTTTTATAAATCAAGGCTAGTTAAAAAACTTGATACTCAAAAAATCATGCTCGTGGGATAAAAAACAGCGATGATATCAATTTATTTCCATTAATTCTATATATATTTTTCGATCTCTCCTATGGCAGCTATATGATAGAGTTTTCCGATTTTGATAAAATTTAATCCGAAATACAATAACATTTAGAAAACGCCATCTTGAAGAATTTAAGTCGATCTGATCCAAAACAACGGCGTGAGAATTTTTTATTTCATTCTCTCGTATAGGAGCTATCCGATATAGTCGGCCGATCCGGCCCGTTCCGACTTATATATTGCGTGCAATAACTACACACCTTTTGGGAAAGTTTCAGCAAGATAGCTTTAAAACTGAGAGACTAGTTTGAAGAGAAACAGACAGACGGACAGACGGACAGACGGCCAGACGGACAGACGGACAGACGTACAGACGTATTCTGATTCTACTCGTGATGCTGATCAAGAATATATATACTTTATGGGGTCTGAGGTGTCTCCTTCCCTGCGTTGCAAACTTCTGACTGAAATTATAAAACCCTTTTGCTCTGCAAGGGTATAATAAAATTATTCTCAACCTCGAAGGCCTCTCGAAAACTCCACGGACAAGGGGCCACGCTTTGGCTAAACGGAACTGACTGTAATTCGCAAACTAATATTTTTTGTTCCAAGGGAACTTAACCTGCAACTAATGAATAAAAGGTATCGAGAATGTTGTGATAAAAAATCTAATTTTTTTTTCTTGTTTATCTTGTCTATTCGTGATGTCATAAAGAACTTATACCATTTAAAATGGAAAAATGTAATCTCAAATTTTAATGAAATTAAATAATTGTAAATATAAGCTATTCGGTATAGTAGTCCGATACTCATAGAAATAACTTTTGGTATCTTTTTTAGTAACGAAATGTTGAAGGTTAACTACTTCGAAGCTATGTCGATTTGTCTGTTGATTGTTTCATTTCTCCGATTGCTCCTATGACAGCTTTTTAATTTGGTCGTCCGATTTTTATAAAACTTAATTTTGGGGGAGAATAAACAAGGTAAAGTGTCTGATTGCATTCAACTTGGTGGGTGCCAGCATGATCCTCGTTCCTTTTCTCCTCAAGTCGACGCACTACCTCCTCGTGGTTCCCTCTGGATTGTCACTAAACATCCGTTTAGTAGCAAACTAAAGCGCGCGGCGGGTTCCTAATACTTAAACTAGGTTATGGCGTAGGACTTGAAATCCACCCATGGAAAACTTAATCTTCAATGAAAGATGCAAGAGGAGCCTCGGAAAGGAATCTAACCAATGTTGACGACAATAGCAAACGTAAAAAGGACTATGATTTGAGAGTATGCACCTGGAATGTACGAACATTGTACAGACTGACTTTAATGCCAAGATTGGGCGAGAAAGTGTCTTTGGAGCAACTGTCGGGCAATTTAGCCTGCATGAGACTACCTCGAGCAATGGACTCAGACTAATTGGCTTTGCCGCATCGCACAATATGGTGGTACGTAGCACTGGTTTTCGTCATCTAGACATTCATAAAGCATCCTGGATTGCGCCCGATCGACTGACTCGTAATCAGATCGATCATGTTGTGATTGATGCACGGCATGCATCTAGCATACTTGACGTACGGTCTTTTCGGGGTCCCAATATAGACTCTGACCACTGGCTCGTTGCAGCCAAGGTTCGCACACGGCTATGTGTGTCGAAGATTGTACGCCGAGGTTTGTCAAGAAAGCCGGACTTCGAAAAACTGCACTCACAACAGACGAAGGATGCGTTCTCCACTCGACTCGCTGGCTTACTGAGCCAGCCCTCTCCAATACCTGAAAGTATTAGTGATATGTGGGCGCACATATCTCACTCCCTGCAAGCCTCCGCGGATGAAGTGCTTGGTTTCCAGGGCCCTCCCGTAGGGAACCCATGGTACGACCAGGAATGCCGTGAAGCTACAGCTGCAAAAGACGCTGCATACCAAAGAACGCTGCAAGCTGGAGCCACCCGTGCCCTGGTGGATGCCTACAGGATAAGGAGAAGAGAAGAAAAACGCCTTTTCAGACGCAAGAAACGGGAACTCGAAAGGCGTGAATGTGAGAGTATAGAGTGTAGTAGAGACAGGAATGATGCGCGCAATTTTTACCAGAGGGTCAAGCTTCTGACCCAAGGTTTTAAGACCGGTGGGTTTGCGTGTAGAGATGATGACGGAAACCTGGTCGCTGACAAGGACATTGTACTGAAGTTATGGAGGGATCACTTCTCCACACTATTGGCTGGCGATGCTCCAAGCCTCGGAGACAGTGATTCACTAACCCCGATCGATGATGACACCGATATACCGGCCCCGAGTCATATTGAAGTCGCAGCCGCCATACAGCGGTTAAAGAACAATAAAGCTCCTGGCGCTGATGGCCTATCAGCTGAATTGTTCAAGGCAGGTGGCGATGTGTTGGTAGGGTGCATGCACCAACTCATTTGCAGGATATGGCTCATGGAAAATATGCCCAATGATTGGAACCTCAGTCTGATCTGTCCCATCCTGAAGAAGGGTGATGCCACACAGCGCACCAATTACCGTGGCATTAGCCTTCTACCCGTCGCATACAGGGTCCTCACGAGCGTATTGTGTGAAAAACTGAAACCACATGCTGAGGCACTGATTGGACCTTATCAGTGCGGTTTCCGACCTGGTAAATCCACCATGGACCAGATTTTTACACTGCGACAAATCCTGGAGAAGTCGCACGAGAACCAAATCGACACTTATTATCTTTTTGTCGACTACAAAGCCGCATTCGATAGCCCGCGACGCGATCTCCTATATGCCGCCATGTCTGAGCTTGGTATTCCTGCAAAGTTGACGCGACTTTGCAGAATGACATTGAGCAACACCAACAGCTCTGTCAAGGTAGGACACGACCAGTCCGAAACCTTCAATACTAAGCTAGGTCTCAGACAAGGGGATTCGCTCTCATGTATGCTCTTTAATCTCTTGATGGAGAGTATTATAAGAAAGGCTGGTGTGCATACGCTGATGATATAGACATCATTGGTCGCACAAAGCGTGATGTTACCGCAGCTTTCGGAGCAATCGAAAAAGAATCGGCTAAAGTAGGTTTAGCAGTAAATATGGAGAAAACAAAGTTTATGGTGTGTTCTAGTAGAGAATCGCGGCGTCTCGATTCTCAGCTCACTGCAGCGAGCTATAGCTTTGAGTCCGTCAAGGAATTTATATACCTTGGTACTGCTGTGACTGGAAACAATAATGTCAGCCTGGAGATTAAGAGAAGAATAACACTTGCCAATAGATGCTACTTTGGGCTCGGTAGGCAAATCAGAAGCAGAGCTCTCTCTCGACAAACGAAAATAACACTTTACAAGACGCTCATCCTTCCAGTGCTTCTATATGGGGCAGAAGCCTGGACAGTAACACAACCAGATGCAGCAGCTCTTGAAGTATTCGAGCGAAAAATTCTTCGAAAAATCTTCGGTCCTGTTTGCGTTGGCGATACCTATCGTATCAAATGGAACCACGAGTTGTATGAGCTGTACGATGACATTGATGTAGTCAGCAGGATGAACATCCAGCGACTCCGTTGGCTAGGTCATGTGGTACGCATGGAAGAGGTAGCTCCAGCTCGGAAGGTGTTTGAAGCGGTGGTAAGCGGACAACGTAGGAGGGGAAGACCAAGGATTCGATGGCAGGACCAAGTGATTCAACCCATTGCATCACTTGGTATTGCCAACTGGCGTAGACGCGCCCAGGACAGGGACGCGTGGAGGGAACTAATGCATCAGGCTGTGACCCGTTAGGGTTGTAAAAGCCATTTATTATTATTATTATAACTCTAAAAGTTGTTATAAAAACTCTATACTCAATGTTTTTATTAAAAACACGTAAAGAAGCTAGCTTCGGCAAACCGAAGCTTATATACCCTTGCACCTTTTTATACCCTTGCAGAGCAGAGGGTATTATAATTTCAGTCAGAAGTTTGCAACGCAGTGAAGGAGACACCTCAGACCCCATAAAGTATATATATTCTTGATTAGCATCACCATCTGAATCGAAATATGTATGTACGTCTGTCCGTCTGTCTGTCTGTCCGTCTGTCCGTCTGTCTGTCCGTCTGTCCTCCTGTCGGTTTCTATGTAAACAAGTCTCTCAGTTTTAAAGCTATCGTGTTGAAACTTTTCCAAAAGTTGTGTAGTTATTGCACGCAGTATATAAGTCGGAACGAGCCGGATCGGCCGACTATATCGGATAGCTCCCACACAAGAGGTCAAAAAAATAAAGGATAAAAAATTATTACGCCGTTGTTTTTGATCAGATCGACTTGAATTCTTCAAGATGGCGTTTTCTAACGGTTATTAAATTTCGGATTAAATTTTATCAAAATCGGATAACCCTATCAAATAGCTGCCATAGGAAAGATCAAAAAATATATATAGAAATAATGGCAAAATAATCATAACGTTGTTGTTTTTTATTCCACGAGCATGATTTTTACAACATCGACTTTATGAACTACCCTTGAACCGAGAAAAAAATTTCATAAAAATCGGACAACTATATCATATAGCTGCCATATGAACAACAGTCGAAAATATGGAAAATTAATAGAAAAGTCGTCATAGCTTCGAGGTTGTTAGCCTTTATGTATTTTGTTCGATTTGTTTGATGACTGCAAGGGTATATAAGCTTCGGCTTGCCGAAGCTAGCTTCCTTCCTTGTTAAACATAAAATATATATAAATATATAAATTTGATCAAAATCGGATAACTCTATTATATAGCTGCCATAGGAAAGATATGTTTAATCCCACGAGCATAATTTTCAATATATGGAGTTTTTTAATAACCCTTGAATCGAAAAAAAAAAATTGCATTAAAATCCGACAACGTTATCATAACTGCTATTGGAAAGATTGAAAAATCTATATAGAAATATCGGAAACAAAATAATAACATCGTTGTTTTTATCAGACAAGCATGATTTTTGGAATATAGAGTTTTCTAACGACTCTTGAATTACGAGTTAAATTTTATGAAAATCTATATCATACCTATAGCTGTCATATGAACAGTAGTCGAAAATATGGAATGACAGAATGAATTGAAAAATCGTCACAGCTTCGATGTTGTTAAGCCTTTATGCATTTCGATCGACATATTTGATGATGATGATATAAAATTTAAACTTTAGGCATGTAAGATTATCAACCCATTAATAAAGCAATCAAACCAAGGGTATAGACAATTTATAATTTTAATTTTAAGTCTGTTTGGTCGAGCTTAAGAATCTCACTTTAATTGAATTCCTTAAAGATCACCGTTTAATGACTTAAAAAAAGTTCCGAGCTCCGTTGTCAGAAAGACATTTGTCTTCTTTTCTTTTCAATTCTTGTAAACAAAATTATCATAATTTCAATAGACTTTGAGTTTCTTATGCAGAAGTCTTACCGACAATCTTCAGTCAAATTCTCTTCAAAAATATAGCGGTCGAGAATAAAACAATCTTCGTGAGCTAGTGGAAATCTGAAAAGTTGAAAACAATGAACAAAAACCAAAATAATTTCTAAGTAGTTTAAAGGCCCAGAATTAATTTTTTTTTTGAATTTTTTTGTACATTTTTTTAACTGAAGAAAGATAACTTACATTTTACAAAATAATATCTCTTACAGAAATAAAAAGGCGTGACACACATTCAGATTACAAAAATTCTGATATGATTGTCATATAAATAAAAATTAAAATTCCACAGCTTGGATTCTGGTCAAGAGTCATTAGATGCGTGAGTCGAGACAAGAGTGTGTTTGCAGTCACTTGAAATAAATTACATTTTCGCTGAAGGCTACTGTGCCCTCATAGAATTTCTTTCTGTTATTGTGCCTTGACTTGATTTTGCCTATGTTACTGGGTTGCCATCTTGTGTGCGCATGCATATGAATAATTGACTTGGATTTGAGGTAAAACAACATTGTTTTGTTATTTATTAAATACATACAAAACTTTTTTATATAAAATATATAATACAACAAGAAACGAAGCTAGCTTCGGCGAGCCGCAGCTTATACGTATACCCTTGCAGTTATCAAAGATGTCGAGTTTCTATATTTTCGACGATTGTTCATTTGACAGCTTTATCATTTAGTCGTCCAAATTTGAAATTAAATTCAAAATTCGATAGTCACTAGAAAATCTATATTCCAAAAATTATCCTTGTCTGATGAAAAACAACGACGTTATATTTTTATACCCTTGCAGAGCAAAGGGTATTATAATTTTGGCCATAAGTTTGCAACGCAGTGAAGGAGTCACCTCAGACCCCATAAATTATATATATTCTTGATCAGCATCACGATCTGAATCGAAATACGTCTGTACGTCTGTCCGTCTGTCCTCCTGTCCGTTTCTGCGCAAACTAGTCTCTCAGTTTTTAAGCCATCTTGCTGAAACTTTCACCTGCGTGTAGTTATTGCACGCAGTATATAAGTCGAAACGGGCCGAATCGGCCGACTATATCGGATAGCTCCCATACGAGAGAATGAAATAAAAAATTCTCACGACGTTGTTTTTGATCAGATCGAATTGATTTCTAACTACTATAGAATTTCGGATTAAATTTTATCAAGGTCGGATAACTCTATCATATAGCTGCCATACAAAAGATCGAAAAATATATGTATAAATAATGGAAAAATAATTATAACGTCGTGATTTAAAAAGTATGGAGTTTTATAATAACCCTTGAATCGAGTAAAAAATTTCATTAAAATCCGACAACGTTTTCATATAGCTGCCATAGGAGTCTACATGCTACATTGCAGTATTCAACATCCTTACGTCTCTAAAGGGGCAAGCATACAGGCATGGTAAGAACTATCTCGACTGATGATGACTCTGCGACCTGTCACATACTTTTCATCAAAAACAGTTCACCTTTTTACTCTATGAGTAACGGGTATAATAAATTGAAAAAATATCCGTTACCCGTAAACTTCTAACTTTAATTGAAATACCCTCTGGAAGTGTATAAAAATTTAAAGTAATGTAAAAAAATACACTTTATAAAATTATCGTAGTCGTTCCGCTGTTAAAAAATAAGCGTGTATCGGTAAAGAGACTTAATATTTTGCAGAAGCGAGCCAAAGGAAACAAGACTGTTGGGTACAAGTTAAGATCCACTGATCCAGCTTGCTGCTGAAATATTAACTAAGGACGATATTTCAAAGAGAGTAGAGATAAAGGTTAGTTTAAGTCAACGCCTGATGGCCTTTCTTTGAAAAAGTAGCAACACAACAAACGAGCATAGTAAAACGAAAGCAGAATATTCGTTGGGCTGCATAGGGTTGTTTCTTTCACGGACAGGTGAGCCCGTTATGGACTGCTGAGCAGGTATCCTACCTTACGACCTTCGCTGAACAGTCGGTGTCATCTCACCTGCCGTAGAATCGTGGTAGTAGTTCGTTTTCTACTCATCATGCTGTACTTTGAGCCAAGTATTTATTTAGCTTCCTCTAAAATTTGAAGAGAACTAAAATCATAAAACTAGTCGTTCGAACTTAACAAAAATAATGTTGTAAATCTGAATCCTTAGGAACTAGTCTCTCAGTTTTAAAGCTAACTGACTGTCGGACAACTTTTTTTCGAATTGTCCCTTGTCAGCTACATGAAATAGTATTCGATTTTGATAAAATTTATTTCGATATTTAGTAGTAGTTAAAAAACACCATCAAGAAATCAAGTCAATATGATTAAAAAACGGCTTGATAGTTAAAATTTTGACCCATTTTTATTTTTGTTTTTATGGGAGCTATATGCTATTGTCGTCCGATTCGTCCGGTTCTAACTTTAATCGAGATAGCTTTCAAAATGAAAGACTAGTTTTCAAAGAAACAGGCAGACGTATACGTCGAGATCAATTCAAATGGTGAAGCTGATCAACAATAAACTTCACTGCCTTTTAGACTTCTTAATAAAATTAAAACACCTTGGCAAGTTTACAGTGCACACTACAACTTAAACATATATTTAAGTGGTATATAAATTTCAATTTTAAACTGCAAAAGTATATCAATCCGGCTTGCCAAAGCTAGCTACCGTTTTCGTTTAGGCAAGTAAATATTCTTAGTGAAATTTTTGCTATGCATTTTTTTGAGTGCCGACACAAGTGTTCTTTTTTTGATAACATGACTCTAAGAACTAAACTCAGCCATTTTTAGTTTGATTCGCTCTATTTATGTATACAATTTAAATGACCAAATCGGGCAAGATTTGTTCAAAATATATACCACAAATTCTGCGTCTATTCTAACGCAACATCTGCTGAAAAGTCTGTCAGAACCGGCTAACATGTGGCTGACGCGTTTGTCCCAAACGGTTGTCCGAAACACCAGCAGCTGCAAAGAAACCGAACGTCGACGCCACTGTAGGGGTTGTTTTTCCTGCCTGGCTAGCATTTGGCTCTTTGCCGTTGGCCACCTTGCTGCCTTCAAGTTTGTTTTAGTTTCAGTTCGAACGTCGAGCGGCAAGAACGTAGAGCGCGTCACGGTATCGCTCTTTTTATACGCTGTACAAACTGGGCAGAAGCCATTGAAACGCGTGTGAGCGGGATCCGAACGAAATATTTATATCTTGGGCAGTCGGTTTCAGTGGGAAACGCCAAAAAGCTAACTCGAAAGCAACGTGAGTGTAGGGGAATTAAAGCTGAAAAGGAAATCGCTGTCTTGATTACAATAAAATTGCCATAATAATCACTTGTGAGAAAATTCAGAAGAAAAATAATGTGGAAAGAAGTGAAGAGTACAATTTGAAAAGATCAATGTGAAAACAAAATAATTTAAAATAAATTAAAAAAATACTCCCATTCTGACCAAATATAATACAATGTGGTTTCATGTGTTTTTACATGCAGTCTAATACGAATGATGATCCTACGATTTAAGCCGTAGGTTATGTGTCAGCAACAAGTAAATCACCAAACAAAAGTTATATTTAACTATGAAAAAATTGTCTCAAAATAAAATTGGGCAACATGTGCATATTTTACGGAATGAGCAAATGTTTAAAAATTGTTTGGTAGTAGCAAAATAGAGAATCTTTTTATACCTATATGTGTGTGGACATATATACAGCGTTACATAAATATTTATATGTATAATTTGCGTATGCGTCGAAATATATACATGAGTGCCGGCTGAACGGAGGTCGAGCTAAGCGAAATTATATCACAACCCGAGTCCACTTTTAGAAACAGAACGCAAAGCATTTATCTGATTTCTCATTTTCCTTCACCAAAATATATGTACATGTTTGGCACATACATTTACATATATGTAAAATCTTTAAATCGCGGAATAATAAAACATTAGCAACTATAGTATACTGCGTTAAAATTAAATGAATTCAAAATTCATATTTAACTGTTTATTTCGAACATCTGTTCATAATAAATAATAATAAACGAAAAAGGATTTATCTAAAATGTATTGAAATTTTATTTTGTATACAGTAAAAATTTGGAATTCTTATACTTGTTTTGTATTACCTATTATGAAAATAAAACTGTAATGGATGTGTTTTGTATTCAACAAGAAAGGAAGCTAGTTTCGGCAAGCCGAAGCTCATACACCCTTGCAGCTAAACAACATCGAAGCTATACTGATTTTTCTATGAAGTTTCTATATTTTCGACGATTGTTCATATGACAGCTTAATGATATTGTCGTCCGATTTTTATGAAATTTAATTCGAAATTCAAAAGTCTCTATACTATATACAAACTCTATACATTAAAAATTTTGGTTTTCTGATGAAAAACAACGATGTTATCGTGTTATTCCGTTAATTCTATATAGATTTTTCGATCTTTTCTATGGCAGCTATATGATATAGTTGTCCGATTTTAATTCTAACAAGAATGGAAGCTAGCTTCGGCAAACCGAAGCTTATATACCCTTGCAGTCATCAAATTATATCGAACAACATCATACATATATGTATGTACATACAACATCGAAGCCATGACGATTTTTCTATAAACTTTCCATATTTTTGACTACTGTTCATGTGGCAGCTATTTGATATAGTCTGATTTTAATGAAATTTTTTTCGTAATTCAAAAGTCAGTAGAAAACTCTATATTCCAAAAATTATGGTTGTCTGATGAAAAAAAAAAGATTTTATCATTTTATTTCCGTTATTTCTGTATAGATTTTTTGATCTTTCCTGTGTCAGCTATGTATGTCGGATTTAAGGCAGGTTCTCACCTTGTGGCAAAAAAAAAAATTGATTTTTTTTTCTTGGCTTATTGTATAGATATATGTTCCGAAAATGTTCTCAAAAAATTTCAGATCCAAATTTGAAATATTACAAAAGTTACAGGCCCTTACACGGAGCACATGTCGAGCACCGGCCATTGGAAGCCAAAACTTTAAGTGCGTTTATCTCGGAACCACGTTTTCGAACCTTACGGAAGTAATTGAAAGCGTTGGGGTTAACCAATCGTCATCAATTTTTTTTTTAAATGTTCCTAATTGTTTCCTTTAACTGATTAACTAGGATTATCCAAAAATATTGAAAACTGTTTAATTGAGAAAATAATTAGTGAGAAAAAAAGAGCGAAAATCGGGGTTTTTTTTTAAAAAGCTAATAACTTTTGCAATTTTCATTTTTTTTTTCTGATCCTAATTCATTTTATGCACAGTACTGTACACTTTAAGAATCTTTTCGGTTTTTGTGTTTCCGATTACCCGTTTTGGCTGAATCACTTCCGTAAGCGGGACACCTTTTTTCCGAAATGTTGCAACTGAGGAACGCCCCCTCCCGCCCCTTTTTGGTTTTTTCAATTTTGACATTTTTTTTCGCAAAATAAATATGTTTTTAAATAAAGCTACAAATTTCAGATTTTTATCTTTAACCGTTTTCTCAAAACAATTTTTTTAAAAAAATGTCCATTTTCGGCCCTACAAGGTGAGAACCTGCCTTAATTGAATTTTTTCTCGATTCAAGGGTCATTAAAAAACAAAATTTTTTGAAAATCATTAAAAACAACGGCATTATAATTTTTTTCCAACTTTTGGTAAAGTTTTAACAAGATAGCTTTAAAACTGAGAGACTAGTTTACATAGAAACAGACAGACGTCCATACGTATTTTGATTCAGATCGTGATACTGATCGAGAATGTATTATATTGACTTTATGGGGTCTTAAGTGTTTCCTTAACTGCGTTGCAAACTTCTGAATAAAATTAAAATACCCTTTGATCTGCAAAGGATATCACAAATGATCTTGTAATATGTAATTCTCATATATACCTATATTAAACATTTTTCGAAAGAATTTTAATTATACCTATATAACAAACATATTTAAAAACAAGAAAGAAAGCTAGCTTCGGCAAGCCGAAGCTGTCATCAATTATGTCGAACAAAATGTATAAAGGCTAAACAACACCGAAGCTACGACGATTTTTCTGTTAACTTTCCATATACGTATTCGACTATTGTTCATATGGCAGTTATATGATATAGTAGTCCGATTTTGATGAAATATAATTCGGAAGTGAAGAGTCGTTAGAAAACTCTATATTCCAAAAATCATACTTGTCTAATGAAAAAATAGGATGTTATACTTTTATTTCCGTTATTTCTATATAGATTTTTTTTATCTTTCCTATGGTAGCTGATTTTTATCAATTTTTTTTTTGATTCAAGGGTTATTAACAACACCGTATTTTGAAAAAACAACGACGTTATAATTTTTTTTCCATTATTTATATATATCATTTTCGATCTTTCCTATGAAAGCTATATGATAGAGCTATCCATTGGCATCTATATGATAGTTATCCGATTTTGATAAAATTTGATCCAAAATTCAATAGTAGTTAGAAAGCGCCATCAGTTTTAAAGCTGTCTTGCTGAAACTGTAACTATATAGGATAGGACAGATAGAGATTGACCTGACTTCAAATTAAATTTTATCAAAATCGGATAACTATCATATAGATGCCAATGGGAAGACCGTTGATTTTTATCACACGGCCATAATTTTTTGAGTATCAAGTTTTTTAACTAGCCTTCAATAACAAAAAATTTTTATAAAACTCGGACAACTATGTATATCATATAGCTGCCATAGAAAAGATCAAAAATCTATATACAATAAACGGAAAAATATTATAACATCGTTGTTTTTATACCCTTGCAGAGCAAAGGGTATTTTAATTTCAGTCAGAAGTTTGAAACGCAGTGAAGGAGACACCTCAGACCCCATAAAGTATAGGGGAGGGTGGTCCCATACCGACCCCCTAAAAGGCAAAAGCGATAAAGGTGAGAAAAATCAATTTTTCAGTTCAGTTCAAAAATTTACTATGTAGAGGGATCAGTTTACTATACATCTAATTGATTAGTAAGTGCGTAGGTGCTTTGAAGCGTTAGATATTCAGGCAAATATAAAACTCCACTTTTTGGTCGTACTCAAAAGTAGTGGTCCGAAACCGACCCCCTATTTCTTAACAGAAAAATTTTATAACATTAAATAAAATTTAATGATTTTGACGTTTATAAAGAAATATATTAAAGGTTCTTTCCAGAAAATAAAAATTAATGTATGAAATAAAGGGCACTGTAGTCGATTGATGAAGTCTGAGTTGTCCTCTTTCTCATAGTAAGTTTTCGCGTTGTTTTCGCGTTGTTTTTCGAAAGCCGCTCGTTGATGACTGTCTCTTCGCTTTCTTCTGATGTTTTTAATGTTTCTGTTACTTTTCTTTACTGAATCTTGTTTACTTTTTCATATTTTCCCTCAAAAATACGCTATGACATATTAAGCTGCCAATAAATGGGGGTCGGTATCGGACCATCACTTCGCGGTCGGTTTCGGACCACCACAACCTTTTCTAATTAACTGCTCGCCATTATCTAATGACGCAAAGAGCGATGTAATTCTAATAGCGTGAATGACAGCTAGGACTATCAACTATCAGAAAACCTTACCCTCCGATTTTTATGCGGAGAAAAAAAACTTTTAAATATTTAAGCTCAAGTTCAGTAAAGAAAAAAAACTGAATGTCACAGGCGTTGAAACAAAACAAACGGAAAAATTGCAGTGAACCAAAAGAAGTCAAATTGGCTATCTATCTCCAAAATGTCTGTGTTATAACAGCTTTTTACTGAAGTAACCGACAATTCGGCTAGCATCGCCATCTCTGAGAAACATGGGGGGGGGGTCGGTATGGGACCACTCTCCCCTAAGCATAATACTCAATATCGGGCTCATACTGGAATGCTAGACGCAGTAATGAATCATATATAAATGCTCGATGTACCTGTTGTCGTTGATGGCATTTGTTCTGCCTCTATTGACTGTGACACGGCGTGGTTGTCGTTGTTCTAATCTTCTGACTTCATTGCGTTCAGCTTGTGTAAGTTCTGGCTCTTCTCTGACTTCATTGCGCTCAGCTCGTGTATCTTCTGGCTCTCCTTGATGCAATTGCGCTATTCTTTCGGATCTTCTATTTCGCATGTATCGAGATCTACTTGTATCACGGCTCAAAGTAGCCGCTTTGCGTTTTCTTGGCATAGCTCACTGGACAAAACATTCATAAATAGAATTAATAATTTTACTTAATGATGAAGGATTTTTGCCCCAGTTTAAATTGATTAAAAATGCTATGGTAGCGTGTT